TGCCCCGCCGTTGGCCTGCGCCCCGTTGGCCCTTTGGTCTCGGTGCTCGTCCTGCCCGCTCCCCTGGGCCCGCCGCTCCCCCATTTGGCGTGGCCCCTCCTGCTTCTCCCCGCCCCCGGCTCGCGTTTGCTTCGCCTCGTCGTCGCCGCCTGCCTCCACGCCCTGCGCCTCGTGGGCCCCCCCTGGTCTCGGCGCTCTCCCGCCCCAGTGGTCTGCCGCGCCTTGTAGGCCCCTGGGTCTCGGCGCTGTGGCTCCTCCCCTGGACCGCGCCTATCGGTTCGCCGGGTCGAGTCTCTGATTCGCGCGTGTTGCTCCTCCCCCCCCCAGCCGCCCAGTCAGCTGGGCTGCGTTCCCCCCCAGCTTCAGCTCAGTGCAGCTCAGTGCTGGCGCTGGTTCCCCCCTCGGCGCCGCCCCTGCCGCAGTCGGCGACTCTGAGTGGGCTGGGTTTCCTCTCTTCCTGTCGCGCCGGCGCTCGTCCTCCTCCTCTTCCGTGCATGGCGGCCTTAATTTGCATACAGCGTGTCCCTTGTTGCCCATCCGCTCCAGCAGCCACCCTTTGCCCAGCCGCCGACGCAAAAAGTGTGTGTGTGTGTGTGTGTGTGTGTGTGTGTGTGTGTGTGTGTGTGTGTGTGTGTGTGTGTGTGTGTGTGTGTGTGTGTGTGTGTCTGCGTGTGTGTCAGCGTGAGCGCCAGGAGTATACCCATTGCACGTGTATGGACACTTGGAGTTGTATGCACATTGAAGCGTGATTCTTAAGTGCGCGGGTCTAAATGTGCAACTTAGGCATTGCGTAAGCATGGCAGTCTGTAGTATGTCTAGATGTACACATAGTTCTATCAAGGACGAGAGAGAGAGAGAGAAAGAGAGAGCGAGCGAGCGACAGAGAGTGCGTCTGTGTGTGAGGTGTTGTGTGCGATTAATCAGGCCATCAGCCGTTTGTCCTTCGGAGTTCGCCCGTCCTCCTTGTTCTGGTTATTTGGCGTTGGTTTGCGTTTGAGTCCCAGCCAGCTCATGAGAGAAATTCTCTGGTTTGACCGGCCACGGTTTTGCACAGTAGTTGGTTGGGTCGTCGGTGGTTCGGTTATCCAGGGCTGTCCTCGATCGCAGTCCCCATATGGACCTTCTCCCTTGTGCTCCCGTCCCGTTTCAAGGATAGTTGAGAAGCAGATGGACTTGAACCACCTGGTGAGCGTGAGGCCACGGCGGCCATGGTCGCGACTGCCCGCATCTCGCTGGCTGTCCTGCTCTCAAGCCCCGCCGATGCGGCGATCCCGTTGTGGCGGTGCCGTCAGGGCGCTGAGATGAGGATCGTGTTGGGCTCGGATGGCGCTCCCTGTTCCCGAGGTCCTGCCGTGGCTGCTCCTCTAGCCTACCTCGTGCTCGCAGGCGCTTCTGGGGCCAGAGTCTGTTCAGGAAACCTCCTCCCGGAGAGCTCGGCCAGCGTTTCTCAGCCAGGTTGCCAGGAGGCTGGCCCAGTTTCTTGAGTGCCTTCGCCCACCCAGCACTGACACTGTGAGTTCGCCAAGGCTTGTTCCAAGAGGCTTCTGGGAAGCTGGCCCAGGTTTCCGAGATCCTTGTTTGCCTGATCGCACTTTCGTCTGTAGCGATCGTTCCTTGCTTCAGCAGCCCCGCTGTACTGCTCGCGCTCTCCCTCGCCCTCCCCAGCGGGTGTGGGCCTCTTCCGTCCGTGCAGTTCGCCCTTCGCCGACGGCCCACTGCAGCTGGGCGTGCCGCAGAAGAGGAGGGGGAAAGGGGGTACTGAGGTGGAGCTGCGTACCCGCTGGATTCTTCAGGTTATATCTTTGCAGGCGCACGGTCGCGGCCTTGTGAGTCCGGTCAGCGATGGAACACCATGTCGGGAATTGGAACATATACATTACCAGAGGCGGGTGGTTTTTCAATCCGACGTTTTTTAAGGGTCAGGGACGACGTCGGGGTGGTGTGGTGTATACTTTTCCTCCGTTTTCCAAGGGAAGCAACGAACCATGTATACACCAGGATCCCGTATACAACAGAATCCGCGTTCCTGTGCGAATTTCAGCGCAGGGTCGGGAAAAGCGTCGGTGTATATAGAGTTCGTTTCCTTACCATGGGCAGTGTTCTGTTTGTCCCCCATTCTGACACGCAAGGTTTCCAGAGTCTTGGCGTGACTGGAGTCGTGGCTGATTGCAGCTTGACGCTTTCAGGGCGATCCGATTCGCCCAGTCTGTGGTGTGGGTGCGACCTCGTGCATCTCGCCCAGGAGGCGACCCCACCGCACATGCCTCCCCAGGAGGATGTGGCAGGAGACCCCGTGTAGCGCAGCGGCATCAATAGCGGTCCTCCAGACTTGGCTTGCTTATAGGAGTCCTGGTCCGCCGTTCCCCCACTGTGTTGCCCCATACATGTGTCCTCTGTTGCGCATGGTTTCCTCTGTTGCGCATGTGTTCCATTACTATTCGCATGGCCTGCGATTTTGCCCCATACAAGCGACCTCTGTTGAGCATTGCTTCCTCTGTTGTGCACGGTTTCCTCTGCTAGCGTTCTTTGGTGCGCATGGCTTCTTCTGTTGCGCATGGTTTCCTCTGCTATCCGTATGACTTCCTCTGTATCCGCGTAGCTTCCTGTGTTATCCGCACGGCTTCTTTGTATCTTTCTTGTGCTATTACAATGGCTTCCTGTGGCTATTCCAATGGCGTCCCAGCAATCTTCCCACACTCGCCATATTCAGAAATAGAGTAGAGCAGAGTAGGGAAGAGCATACGAGTACAGTACAGTATAATCTTCCAACGGCGTCCCAACAATCGTTGAACAACCGTCGAACTCAGAAGTAAAGTAGAGTCGAGTAGAGCAGAGCCGAGCATAGTAGAGTAACGTAGATAAGACTAGATGCGTAGAGTAGAGCACAAGCGAGTAGAGCAGAGTCGAGGATGATGGAGAAGATGAGGGTCGACTAGACTAGAATATGGCCGGAGTATCGTAGAGCAGAGTAAGAGTAGAGTAGAGTAGAGTAGAGTAAGGTAGAGTAGAGTATGGAGAGCACGAGTCATAACTGCACGCGTGTCCACAATGTTGGCGTGAGCGGCGCATTTCCAATTCTCTCCCGCACGCGAGTCCGTGCGATGGTTATTCCAGATCGCCCGAACTGCACATGCCAAGGCACGGCTGTAGTGTTTCCTCTCGCTTCGCGGGGTGCACGTCCACAACGCGTCAAGTTTGAACCTTGCGATTGCAGTGTGTGGCTGGAGGAGGAAGCTTTCTGGAGGTCTCGCGGGGCCTGTTGCTGGGATTCCTGGGAGCCCCTCGTAGGCCAGAAGGGGGTGCTCTGCGGTCCTTTGGGCCATCTTGGGGGGGAGGCGCCCCAGGGCCCCTTCGACTTCCCATGTTGAGCGGGGCCGTCTTGGCGGCATCTTGGGCTGCCGTGGGGCCCCCCGGGTCCTGGACCGATCGGCGCCGTCTTGGGGGCCTCTGGGGGATCTCTTGGGCCGTCCTCGGGCTCTCTCCAGGGCCTCTTGTGTCGTCTTGAGGCCAGATTGGGACCCTCTCGGGGCCGCTTCGGGCAGTTGGATGTCCGACGAGGAGGGACATCTTGGGTTATTTTGAAGCCAGCTTGGGCCGACTTGGGCTCCCTTTTATGTAGGCGCGTCTGGTAGGGCGCCTCCGCAGATCTTCGGAGGCACATGGGGCGAAGTGAGCGTTCGTGGGTGCGTTCCTGCGTGGATCGTTCTCTGAGGGGCGGAAAGGGCTGCTGGAGCGGAACCTGGGGGGATCGATTGCTGGCTGGGCCAAGCTCTGCACGTGGCCGGAGTTCCCGAAACAGGCAGGCGGGACCGAGCCACCATCCTTGGACGCAGGGCATTCGCAGACAAAAACCACCTGGCAAGTGTTTCGAAGCGGGGCCCACAGTGGCGTGCCGTGGGTGGAAGGAGAGGACTATGGCAACGCCGCCCCAAACGCCAGTGTGCGTGACGTGTCGTTTAAACGCGATCACTGACACAGATCATCTTTTGAACGCCCGATAGGGTCATTGTTTGACCCAGGCAGTGTGGTGGTAGTCTCCGCGTGCCGCAGGGCTAAGCAGAAATCGCACATACGCATAACCAAATCTCCCACAGAAAGAACCTATGGCCATGGCAACGAAGGCGACGCAAATCACCAGGAGTGTAAAAGGCGCATTCTATGACCTATTGCCCAAAATGTGTCATTTGAGTAGGCGCGGAATGGAACCAACATGTGTTGCGAGGCTTATTGGGGCGTCTTGGAAGTTTCGGGGGGGCCTTCTTGGGAGCCTTCTGGGGTGTTTTCAAGTTACCTTTGAAGGCCTTGTGGGGGCCTCTTGCGGCCATGTTGAGGGTCTTTGGGGCCATCTTGCGGGGAGGGCTCCCCGGGCCCTTTCGAGTTTCTTTCTTGGTGCCCTCTTGGAGGCCCTTTTGGCTGTCTTGGGCGGTTTTGTTGGCTCCTTTTGGGGCAGTCTTGGGCGGAAGTCTTGGGGCACTCGTGGAGCCGTTTGGTATGTCTTTCGGCCAGTCTGGGGGGTGCATTGGGCCGTGTCGGGTTGTCGGAAGCCAGAAGAAGGGGATTCCACAAAGATCCTTCAAGGGTTTTCGGGCATCAGTGCACTTTACCTATGGGGGTTTTCCTGGGGTCCGTTCGGATCCCTCTTTGGCCGTCTCGGAGGCCTCGTGGGTCGTTTTGGGACCATCGTCACCCGTCTTGAAGCCATCGTGGGCCATCTCAGAGCTCTCATGGACCGTCTCGGGGCCATCAGGGGCAACTTCGGCGCGTCTGGGAGCCTCCCTGGGTCAGATGCACATGCTGGCACAATTCGCTGGGGTCCGTCCCTCCAGAACAATCTCACACGCTGAGGATGCCCCAAGGGGGCAGCGAATCGGAGTCTCGGCTTCCCTGCTCACGGCTGCACCTGCCTCGTGGAGTGTTCCTCCCAGCCTGCCGTCAAGAGGCGGGTTCTCCTCGTCCCCGTGCTGCTCCCTTCGGATCTCAGCACTCTCCTCGCTGGTGCTACCCGGGCGGCGGAGCGAGGGGTGGAAGGGCACGTGGCTGCGCGCGATCCCTCAGAGATCTCTGCTCGTTGTTGGCCTCTGCGCTCGCCTCCCCCCTACCCCTGCCTCGCACCGGCCGGGCCTGCTGCGACCGCCTCCACCCCAGGCGCAGCCTGATGGCTGCTCCGGAGGATCCTCCAGAGCTGGAGAGGCAGCAGCCCTCGCCTCAGTTACCATCACGCTTGGCGAGCGGGCGGGGGCAGAGGAAGGGGGGATTGCGAGAAGAGGTGCCAGTGCGGCCCGATGGAGATCAGTGCAGCCCGAAGGGTGTCAGATCCGTCACGTCTTCCTCTGCACTTGTCGCGCTTCCTCCTGTCCTGGGCCTTCTTGGGGTCGTCTCTGCAGTGCCGTCGTGGGGGCCGGCTTCGAGCGGCCGTAGGGTCGTTCTGGCCCGCCTCGGGGCCATTCTGGGAAGTGTCGCGGCGCCGTGTGGGATGCCTCGGCCCTTCTTGGGGCTGTCTTGGGCCGCCGTGTGGGGTCACGTTTGGCCGTCTTGGGGCAACATGCTGTGGTCGTCTGGCCATCTTGGCCAGGAAGTCTTCGGGCATTTCGGTCCGTGCTATGTCGTCTCGGGGCCATTTTGTGGTCGTCTTGGGCCGTATTAGGACTATCATGGCTCGTCTTGGGCCGTCGTGGGTCATGGTGGGCTGTCTTGGGGCCATGTTAAAGCTTCCACTTCCTCCCTGTCAAGCTCCTCTCTTCTCGTCGTCGTCCTCCTCCTCCTCCTTCTCCTCCTCCTTCTCCTCCTCATCTTCCCCTCCCCCCTTCTACAGCAAGTGTCGCCTATTGAAATGTGCCCGCCACCCCCGTCGATCCTCGCGCGCCGTGTGCGTACGGTCTTCTGGCAAAGGGGGGTATACACGCCAGCTTTGTGCTGCCGCCGCCAGGTACGAGGACTGAGCGAGGTTGTCGCGGGAGCCCTGTGATCAATGCATGGCGAGAGACAGCAGGCGTTCGATTGGCAGCAGAGTTTAAGACCCGTCAGGCGAACTGAACAGCGCAGCTTCCCTGTGGCCGAAAAGCGGGCTCCTAGGGGTCTCTCGAGGCATTTTGGAGCTCTCTTGCAGCCGTCCTGGACAATCCTAGTCGCCTTTGCGAATGTTTTTAAAGTCGTATTGCGGCAACCTCACTGGGTGCTGCCAGGTGTGCACGTGCCACCATTGTCCTGTACCCTTGGGGAGGGGCTCAGCGCTGTGGTGACGGGCAGATCGAACTAGTTCTCGCTCTCTATCTCTACCTCTCTCTCTCTCTCTGAGTTGATAACGTCCATCTCCACAGGTGGTCTAGAAGCTTTCGGGTATCGGCAGGACAAGCTTTGGGTAGCCTGGCTCAGCTTGCCGGGACGTATCTTGGAGACAGTACTGGTCAGTCGGTATGGCATGCCGTATGCGAGTGATGTTCTACGGTCAAAAAGAGCGCGTTCTGTGGTCGCTTGGAGCGGGGGGGGTAGAACTGGACCCCCCCCTCCCCCTACTTCTCCTCTCTCCCTCTCCTCGGGCCGGCGCCGGCGTCGGCGGCGGCTTGCGGCGGCGGCGGGGGTGCTCACGGTGGTGGTAGAGGGCGGTGGTGGTGGTGGTGGTGAGGTGGTTTGTGGTGGTGGTGGTGGTGGTGGTGGGTTGTGCTGCTGGTAGTAGTGGTGGTGGTTGTAGCGGTGGTGGTGGTGTGACAGATTGTGGTGGTGATGGGGGTGGGTTGTTGTATTGGTGGTGGTGGTTGTGGTGAGCTGTTGTGGTGGTGGTGGTGGCTGTGGTTGTGTGGTGGTTTGGTGGTGGTGGTGGGTTGAGGTGGTGATGGTGGTGGTCGTGTTGGTGGTGGTGGTGGCGTGGTGGTTTGTGGTGGTGGTGGTGGTGGTGGTGGTGGGCTGTGGTGCTGGTGGTGGTGGTGCTGGTGCTTCTGGTAGTGGTGCTGGTGGTGGTGGTGGGTGGTGGGTGGTGGGTGGTGGGTGGTGGGTGGTGGCGGTGGTGGTGGTGGTGGTTTTGGTGGTGGTGGTGGTGGTGGTGGTGGTGGTGGTGTGGTGGTTTGTGGTGGTGGTGGTGGTGGGTTGTGGTGATGGTGGTGGTGGTGGCGGTGGTGGTGATGGTTGTGGTAATGGTGTGGTGGTTTGTGGAGGTGGTGGTGGTGGTGGTGGGTTGTGGTGGGTTGTGGTGGTGCTGGTGGTGGTGGCGTTTTTGTTTTTGGTGGTGGTGGTGAGGTGGTTTGTGGTGATGGTGGTGGTTGCGGTGATGGTGGGTTGTGGTGGTTGTGGTGGTGGCGGCGGTGGTGGTGGTATGGTCGTCTGTGGTGGTGGTGGTGGCGATGGTGGTGGTGGTGATGTGGCCTTCGGCTCTTCATGCCACTGTGTTTTCGCTTTGGGTCAGAGTTCTAGTGAATGCCTCTTGAGGTCTCGTCAGAAGGGTCTCGGGGGAGTCTGATGAGCATGCGAGGGCTCGATATGGCGATTTGTGTGCTCCCTCTGCGGCCTCTGGGCCTTCTCTGGTCATCGTCGCTGCGTTCACGCCGTCGGCGCTGCTGGTCGCCGCCAGCGCCAGCGCCGGCGCCGGCGCGGGGGGGAGGGGCGGGGTTTGAACACCCCCCCCTCCTGGGCCCTCTCTGGTCATCGTCGCTGCGTTGGCGCTGCGGCGGCCGCCAGCGCCGGCGCCGGCGCCGGGGGGAGGGGTGGGGGTTTCAACCCCTCCCCCCAGCCCTCCCCGGGGGGGGGAGGAGGTTCGGGAGAGGGGGGGAGGTAGGGGGGAGGGGAGTCCCCCTGGTTCTGATCGACGGCGCCGAGTGTTGGGGGGGGCCCACCCCCTGGTTCGAAACGCGCCGCTGAATGTTCCCAAGGCAAGCGCCCGTGAAACCCGCTCTCTCTCTACTCTCTCTCTCTACTGTCAGGACGCTGGCATAAGGACAGCTTCAGGCTCAGGAGGGGTTGTGAATTTGGAGCCGCTCCTTGGATCTAGGTCCACGCACCTATTCGTGACTGAGGCTCGCCGTGGCAAGACAAGCCCCTTAGTTCTTCATGCCGCGCTGTTTGTATCAGCACGATGGCTGCAGTGTGTCTGTTCGAGTGGTCGCGAGCCTGCCATCCGCCCAGTGCACTTTGCCCGAGCAACATGGACGGGGCATGCGCGCAGGGTCGTGTGGGCTCCCGCGGGGCTTTCTCGAATCCCCTCGTGGCCGTCCCACTTCCTGGAGGAAGCCGCGCGAGATTCGAGCAAGGTCCGAACGGGGTGCATATCAAACCCGACAAGAGTCCGATGTGATCTCATGTTTCGGGCGAGCGGCGATGGGTGGGGGGCATTCAACGTGGGGGGCTCGAGGACTGCAGGGAAGTCTGCATGTTCTCACCCCGCGTCTACTGCCCCCCCCCCCGTTGGCGGGCACCCGAAGAGTCGAATCGTGGAGCCAGGGCGAGGCCCCAACCGATGGCTTGCCGGCCGCGGTCGCCTCGGCTCTCGGGGAGGCCCTGCCCACTGCGGAGCCGTGCCCTCCACGCCCGCACGGCCGGGTGCGATCGTTACGGCTTCCCGCGCGGGCCCGCTTGGTGCAGAGCCGCGCCCCCGCGGGGCGTGCGCGGGCGGCCCGGGAGGGCCAGGGCGCAGCCGGCGGGGTGGTGCTAAGGAGCCGCCTGTCCGACCTCGTGGTGATGGTCGCCGAGAAGGCGAAGGGCGACGGCCTGATCTCGTCGATGATCTCGGCGGGGGGGGGAGCGGCTCGCCGCTCGCGCAGCGTCGTCGTGGCTGCGGATTCCGAGGTGGGGTGGCGCACGTCAGCTCAGCTCGTGCTGAGTTGTGGCAAGCTGGGCCGTCTTCGGTCCGCCGGCGTGTGGCGTGCGGGCGAAGCCCTGCCGGCAGCCGCAGTGGCTGAGATCGAAACCGAGTGCCCTAGCCAGCCGAACCAGCTAGCCCAACCGATCTAACCAGCCAATCCGCCAGCCGGCCCAACCGGCCAGCGCCACCCAGCCAACCTGCCCACGCCCGCCGCCCGCCCTCCGTCACCGCTGAGGGTTTCTTGCAGGCGGAACGGCTGCGAACCCGCCCTCCCCAGCCTGGCGGGGCAGCGGGGGGAGGCCAAATCGCTCAGGTGCCCAGGGGACGGTTTCGCTCTCCGGGTGACGCCAAGGACGGCTTTGGGCTCATGCGACAGCGCTGGCATTTCTCTTCCTTTCACAGCGCCCGCGCTCTCCACGGACACCTTCCGCCCGCGAAACGGACGCCACTCTTCAGGCTCCGCGTGGGTGTTCTTAGAGGGCGTGGCGGGACGGCCAGGGGGGGCAAATCGCACTGCAACGTGGGGGGGGGGGCCGCCCCAGGGCCGGCGTCAAGGGAGAAGCTCCCCTCCCCGAGGCTGTCTTCAGTGCTGGTGCCCCCCCCCTCCGCGGGGGGTTCTCCGAGGGCTCGGCGGGGCGGCCAGCGGAGGCGACATCGCACAGTGCCGTTGGCGACCGCCCCCGGGCAGGACGCCCTCGGGCCAGATTTAAGTCGGGCCTGTCCCCCTACAGGGGGATTTTCGACGAAAAATGAAAAATACGCCCAAAATAATCCAAAACAAATTAAAACATATTATGGGGACTATTTTTCGAGTATGGTTTGACCTTTTTGGTGTATTTGTGTGCTTTTTTTCCGTTGAAAATCCCCCTTTAGGGGGACAGGCCCGACTTACGGCCAGATACAGGCCCGCTCGACCAGAGACCGCTCTCCCGGAAGCCCGCTCGCCCGGCAGCCCGCTCGCCCGGAAGCCCGCTCACCAGTAGGCCCGCTCACCCTGCGTGTTGGAGACGAGGCTGTGAAGTCCATCGGTGTTGCGTTGGAGACGGAGGCAGTGGAGTCCTGAGTGTTGTGTTGGACACGGAGGCTGAGAGTAGTGGTGTATGTGTATGTGTGTGTGTGTTTGAAACAGATGTTGTGGAGTACCGGGTGTGGCTTTGGAGACGGAGGTTGTGGAGTATTGGGTGTGGTGTTGGAGAAGCGGGCGGGGCGGGCGGGCGGCGGCGGGCGGGCTCGGGCTTTGATGAAACTGAAGAAGCCGCCTGTGGAGTGCTGGGGTGTGCGTTGGAGACGGAGGCTGTGGAGCCCTGGCGATGGAGGCTGCGGAATACTGGGGTGTGGTGTTGCAGAAGCGGGCGGGGCAGGCGAGACGGCGGGCGGGCTCGGGTTCTTTAATGCAACTCCTAGGGAAACAGCCTTGAAGACGACTGCTGTTGAGTACTTGTGTGCGCGTTGGAGACGGAGGCTATGGAGTACTGCGTGTTGTGTTGGAGATGGAATCTGCAGAGTACTGGGCGTTGTGTTGGAGACAGAGGCTGTGGAGTACTGGGTGTTGCTTTGGAGACGGAAGCTATGGAGTACTAGGCGAAGTGTTGGAAAGGCGGGCGGGGCGGGCGGCAGGGGGCGGCGCCGGGCGGGCTCAAGATTCGAATGCAACTCCTAAGAAAGGTATCTTGGAGACGCAGGTGTTCGATTGCTGGTGTGTGTGATGGAAGCGAAGGTTATGGAGTACTGGGTGTTTTGTTGGAGGCGGACGCTGTGGAGCACCAGGTGTTGCTTGGGAGACGGAGGCTCTGGAGTACTCGGTGTTGTGTTGGAGAGGCGGCCGGGGCGGGCGGGGCGGGCGGCGGGTGGCGGCGGCGAGCAGCAGGAGGACTCGGGTTTTTTTGTTCGTACAATCCCTAAGATAACCACCTCGGAGACGGAGGCTGTTGAGTAGTGGGGTGAGGCTGGGTGCTTTTGTTGGAGGCGGAAGCTGTGGAGCACGGAGTGCTGCTTTGGAGACGGAGGCTGCGGAGTACGAAGTGCTGTGTTGGAGAGGGGGGGCGGGGCGTGCAGGGCGGGCGGCGGGCTGCGTCGGCGGGCGGGCGGGCGGGCTCGGGTTTGCAGTACGACTCCGACGGAAGCCGTCTTGGAGATGGAGTCAGTTGCTTACTGGGCGTGTGTTGGGCACGGAGGCTATGGAGTGTTGGGTGTTGAGCTGGAGACGGAGGCGGAGGCGTATCGAGTGTTGCGTTGGAGACGGAGGCTGTGGAGTACTAAGCGTTGTGTTGGAGAGGCGGGCGGGGCGGGCAGGGCGAACGGCGGGCGGCGGCGGCGGCGGGCGGCTGGCCGGCTCGGGTTTCCAATTCGATTCCGAAGGAAGGCGCCGTGGAGACGGAGGCTGTCGAGTACTGGTGTGTGTGTGTGTTTGGGGCGGAGGCTGTGGAGTACTAGGTGTTGTGTTGGAGACGGAGGCTGAGTGTGTGGAGTGCGGGCTGGGCGGCGGGCGGCGGGCGGTCGGCGGGTGGGCTTGGGTGTGCAATGCGACTCTTGCTGAAGCCGCCTTGGAGACGGAGGCTGTGGAAGAATGGGTGCACATTGGTGACGGAGGTCGTGGAGCATTAGGAAGTGTGTGGGAGACGGAGGTAATGGAATGCTGGGGGATCGTGCTGGGGACGGAGGATGTGGAGTACGAGGTGTTGTGTTAGAGAGGTGGGCGGGGCGGGCGGCGGTAGTTGCTCGGGTGTCGAATGCGTTTGCTAAGGAGGACGACCTGGAGACGGAAGCTGTGGAAGAGCGGGTGCACATTGGAGACGGAAGTTGTGGAACAGCGGGGCGTGTGTTGGAGGCGGAGGCTAGATGATACTGGGTTGTTATTTTCGAGACTGAGACTGAGACTTCGTGGAGTTGCAGCAATTCCTACGAAGGCTATCTTGGAGACGTCTGCTGTTGAGTACCGGTGTGTGTGTGTGTTGTTGTTGTTGTTGTTGTTGTTGTTGTTGTTGTTGTTGTTGTTGTTGTTGTTGTTGTTGTTGTTGTTGTTGTTGTTGTTGTTGTTGTTGTTGTTGTTGTTGTTGTTGTTGCTGCTGCTGCTGTTGTTGTTGTTGTTGTTGTTGTTGTTGGTGGTGTTGGTGTGTGTGTGTGTGTCTGTGTGTGCGTGTGTGCGTGTGTGTGTGTGTGTGCGTGTGTGTCTTGGAGGCGGAGGCTATGGAGTAGTGGGCGTTGTGTTGGAGTGGTGGTTTGGGCGGGCGGGGCCAGCGGCGGGCGGCGGCGGCTGGCGGCGGGCGGATTTGGATTTGTTTAGTGCAACTCCGAGGGAAGCCGTCTTGCAGACGGAGGCTGTTGGGTAGTGTTGTGTGCGTGTTGGGGACGGAGGTTGGAGTACCGTGTGTTGTGTTGGAGTCGTAGGTTGTGGAGTACTGGGTGTTGTTTTGGAAACGGAGGCTGTAGAGTATTCGGTATTGAGTTGGAGCTGCGGCGGCGGCGGGCTGCGGGCGGGGTCGGGTTTTTCATCTGCGGAGTACTGGGTGTGCGTTGGACACGGAGGCTGTGGAGTATTGGGTGTGGTGCTGGACAAACGGGGGTGGATCGAGTGGTGGATGGCGGCGGTGGCGGCGGCGGCAGCGGCGGGCGGCGGGCAGCGTCGAGGTTTCAGACAACTCCTGAAGAAGCCGTTGTGGAGACGCAGACTGTGGAGTACTGGCATGTGTGTGTCGGAGATGGAAGATGAGGAGTGCTGGGTGTTCTGTTTGAGACGGAACTTGTGAGTAGTGGGTGTTGTGCTGGAGACGTAGTCTGCGGAGTACCGGGTGTTGTTTTGGAGACGGAGGCTGTGAAGTACTGGGTGTGTTTATGAAGCGGGTGGGGCTGGCGGCGGCCGGCGGTGGGCGGGCTCAGTGCTTTAATACAACTCCTAAGGAAGCGACCTTGGAGACGGAGGCTATGGAGTACTGGTGTGTGTTCGAGACGGAGGCTGTGGAATACCGGGCGTTGTGTTGGAGATGGAGGCTGTGGGGTATTGCGGTGTGTATTGGAGACAGATGCTGTGGAGTACTGGGTGTTGATGTGGAAGGTTGGTAAGAGAGAGGAAGGGATGGCTCAGGTTTGAGGGAAGTATGAAGGATGAGGGGAATCTGCAGAGACGATGGATGATGGAGGTCGGGAAGACGAGACGGAGGAGGAAGAGGAGGAGGATGAGGAGAAGGAGCAGGCGGAGGAGAAGGAGGAGGAGAAGGGTGAGGAGTGAAGGAGAGTAGCCGGAAGGAGACCAGCAGCAATAAGTAGAGAGCAGAAACGCTTCTGCCGAGGCAGGCTTCTGCCGCAGCGGGCGTCTGCCGGAGCGGGCTTCTGCCAAAGCGGTCTCTGCCGTAGCGGGCTCCTGCCGGAACGGTTCTGTCGGGGCGGGCTTCTGCCCGAGCGGTTCTGCTGGAGCGGTCTCGGCTGGAGCGGTTCTGCCGGAGCGGGCTTCTGCCAGAGCGGTCCTCTTTCTCGGGCCATGGAACTTGTAAGGCTCGACGGTCCCATCCTGGATACGTCCTCCTCGTCCTCCTGCTCCTTATCCTCCTTCTCCTCATCCTCTTTCTCCTCGGCGTCATCCTCCTCCCCCTCCTCGTGCTCTCTCCTCCTCCTCCTCCTCCTCCTCCTCCTCCTCCTCCTCCTCCTCCTCCTCCTCCTCCTCCTCATCCTCCCCTGGCCAGACTGCCAGGTATCCGAGCGGGCCGCCGCCTTTGAACTGCACGGCTGCGGCCAGGAACTGGCAGCGGGCGACACCCACTGCTCGGGCCGCGCCGCCACAGCTCGCAGCCTGTTACCTGGGGGGGCGCTTGCCAGGGCCCTGGCTGGCAACCCCTTATGGAGCTGTTCGGGAGTGGCCTCCCTGCACATGGCAGTCCCTGTCAGGGGATGGGGGATCCTCTGTAACAGTCCCAATCGGGGGCGGACAGAACCCCCAACAGTGACACGTCGATTAGTAGTGAATTGTCCGTTTTCGGTTTTCGAGAGGGCGCCGTGGCAGCTATTTTCCAGGCTTGCGCCCGCCAGGTTTGGGCCTCAGGTCGTTTTCACTAAACCACGTTTTGCGAAAGGGGAGTCCGCCCATCCCCGACCCAAGCCCCACGACCTGCCCGTCTGGGGAGGGTGAGCTACTCCGCCCTGCCGCTTGCACGGGACAGGGAGGGCTGCGGAGGTGGCAGCCACTTGGCGAATAACTTTCAGGAGGGAAAGAAACACACAGACACAATTAATCGACGATCCCCAGGAAAATATGGGAAAATATGGGAAGTGTGGGGGAAGACAAAAACCCAGAAAATATGCGAAAATATGGTGAAGTTTTTTATTTGTGTGTATTTATTTGTGCGTCCCAGGGCCCCTTCAAACTTGTTGTCTCCTGCATCCTCCCTCCTCGTATAAGACCTGCGGGGGACGAGCGCAGGCGCCAGGGGACCAAGTCTGGACGGGGGGAGGGGGGGGGGGGCGGGGCTACGCGAAGCGGCTTCCATCGCACCGACTCCTCACCTGGGCTTCTTCGTGCGCTGCCCAGCCTCGCCCAGGGAGAGAGGACGGCGTCGGGACAAGAGGCCTCGGAGCTGCTGATCAGTCGCCGCGCCAGCAGGCAAGGGGGAGCCCACCTCCTGGAGCGGGCCGGGAGCAGCAGGGCGGAGGCACAGGCGGGGAAGCAGCCCTTGAGTGGACAGGTGAGGCGCTGGTTCCAGAAAGAACCTCGCCTTCGAGGGTCGAAGAAGTTACCATTTCTTCCTCGGCGGAAGGTGGCGTCAGGCGGCGGAAGTACAAGACGAGGCCGCCCCCGCCAGCGGAGGCGGGCGGAAGACCAGCAGAATTAAGAGATGCCCCCCAAAGAGATGGCAAACTTTCTGGGTCCCTTGACATCGCTCGGACGTGTGCATATTTTCGGCGCGCGCCATCGAGGAGCAGATTGGATCATCTTGTGAAAGAAAATAAACACACGACATCGAAACATGTACGGGGAATGGACCTCCGAGCGATGGCGAGGCTCATGGTTTCATGAACCCGCCGTGTGGGTAAGGGACGGGGTCCCGTTGCAGCCGGCCAGTCGCTGCACCATCTGGCGAGGGCGTGGGCGGCAGATGGGGAAAGAAAGGGCCACAGCGGAAGCGTGCGCTGGGCGCAGCGGCGTGGCTCGGTCTTTTTTCCTTGGGCTCCTCCCGGGTTCCCAGGAGCTCCACAAGCCCCATCCTGCCCTCCTTCTGTTCAGCTCCTACCCTTCTCCCACCTCCCCTCCCCGTCGGTCCCCCAGGCAGCGGATATGCAGAAGCCTTGGCACCGCTAGGGAGGGAAGGGGAGGGAGGGCAGGGGGCGACGGAGGGAACAGAGGGGGCAGAGGGGGGGAGGGACGAAGGAGGGACGAAGAAACCAAGAGGTACCCATACGGCTAACCCCCCAGACCTTTTCCGGGGTGCGCTCTGACCAGGCTTTCGATGCGAATCCGGTGGTGGCCACGAGGGCCTCCCCACAGAGGCCCCCCAAAGGGGAAAGCGACGGAAGGAGCAGGGTACCTTCTCCTGCTCTAGACCCAGACATGCGACTTCCTGATTTTTGTCAGTGCGGCGCCCCCGGAAGTACTGGCCCTTTCCCCCGGGACCGTACCGGTTTGTCAATCTGCGCCGTTTTTTCCACGGCCCCGGGGCCCGGCGAGGGCCTTGCAAGAGGCCGAACACGGCCCAAAATTTCCGTCCTGATTTTTTTTTTCACGGCACGAGCATGTCTGGGGAGGGGAGGGAGGGAGGAACGGGGGGCTGCCCTGACCAGGAGTTGTGGCCCAAGTTGCTCAGCAAGGCTGAGCAAGCCCAACATGCCCTTGATTTCTTTCTCCAACGACTACGTCGCGTTTTCGATCCTCCACCTCCGACTCCCTCCTCATCCCTCCTCCCTCCTCCCTCCTCCTCCTCCTCCTCCTCCTCCTCCTCCTCCTCCTCCTCCTCCTCCTCCTTCTCCCCCTCCTCCTTCTCCTCCTCCTCCTCCTCCTCCTCATCCTCTTCCCTCCTCCAGGCTGCAGGAACTGACTAGAGAGGGGTTCGAGCTAAGCCTCCAGACCCGAACCCAGGGCCACCTTCTCACAAGCCTCTGCTCGGAGTTGGCCTGAATGGGAAGTGCGAGGGAGAGAGACCACCTTCTCACAAGCCTCTGCTCGGAGTTGGCCTGAATGGGAAGTGTGAGGGAGAGAGAGAGAGAGAGAGAGAGAGAGAAGAGAGAGAGAGGGAGAAACTCTTCCCTCCTCCTCCTCCTCATCCTCCTCCTCCTCCTCCTCCACCTCATCATCCTCCTCCTCCTCCTCCCCCTCCTGCTTGGCGCGGGGCGCAAAGAGCACTCGGCGCCAAGCCCGCCCGTGCGTGGCGGCAGCGCCCCCGCCGGGCTGGCGAGGAGGCTCCGACGAGGCGCGGCTCAGTGGACGCAGGCCGCCGGGGAAGGGAGGCGGCGGGTCAGATCGGATCGGGGGCACGTTCGCTGGTGGAGGAGGAGGAGGAAGGAGGAGGAGGAGGAGGAGGAGATGAGCATGAGGAGGAGGAGGAGGAGGAGGAGGAGGAGGAGGAGAGGAGGAGGAGGAGGAGGGAGAGGAGGAGGAGAGAGGAGGAGGAGGAGGAGGAGAGAGGAGGAGGGAGGAGGTAAAGGAGGGAGGAGGAGGAGGAGGAGGGGGAGAGAGGAGGAGGAGGAGGAGGAGGAGGAGGAGGTAAAGGAGGTAAAGGAGGAGGAGGGGAGGAGGAGGAGGAGGAGGAGGATGAGGAGGAGGAGGAGGAGAGGGGAGGGGGAGGGGAGGAGGAGGAGGGGGAGGGGAGGGGAGGGGGGACAGCGAGGTATACGTTCCCAGAGATCCGAGGATCTGATTCTGTAATCCAAGCGAATTTCCTCGATTTCGGCTTTCAGGGCCCGCTCTCGGGCCTGGGCACCATCAAGAGTGGGTCTTGGATGAAAAAAACACCCACAGGGGAGGGGTCGGCACCTCTGTGGCCGCAGACTGGATAGAACATATCGGCGGATGTCTGGGTTCGGGGGGGGGATGCAGCCGCACCGAGGTAGAAGGTCGAGGGGTCGGTTCGGGCAGGGTTGCCCACATGTTCTGCGTGCTTGCTGGATGCTCTCGTGCCTCCCGGGGGGTGGGGGGGGGACCCTCGAAGGTTCTTCTGTTCGGCCAGCCGAAGGTCTCGTATTCTGAGAAGATGTTCTTCTGTCTTGGGAGGGTCTCACATTCTGAGTCGTAGGCTCGGGGAGGATGCGTCGACGCCCGATCGCCCATCGATCGCCGGTAGGGGCCCGATGGCCTGGTCCGCCCAGGACCGTGCGGCTTCGCTACCGAGGGCCTGTCGCCGCTTCATCGGCGATGTGTCGCGGATTCCGGGTCGATGTTCCCCCCTGAGCCGGTCCCCCTTTTACCTGTCGGTCGTTGAAAGTAGGTATTTCTGGATTCCCGGATCCCAGTCTTGCTTCAAGCGAGCGCTTTCCTGCTTCAAGAGTCGGTCTACTTTTGCTGTGTTTCGTTCTCCTCTGGGAGGGCCTGAAGCCAAGCTACTTGATCCGCCTTCCCACTTCAGATGTTTTGCAGTCAACCCGCATAGTAAGGATGTGCCTCCTTCCCAAGGTTGCCCTCGCATGCTTGCCTCCTCGGTCCATTCTTGGCCGCTTTCGTTCGCCGCGCCCCCGCTGGAGAAGCTTCGACATGGGCGTCCAAGGCCCTTTCATCCTCACCGCGCATCCTTACTAGACGTGTTGACTGTACCTACTTCTTCCGACCGACAGGTATCGATGCCCCCTCATCAGAGGGTCGGCGGCTGCAACGGGGACGGATCGCCCCAGGGGAGGGCACTGCAGGCGCGCTTGACTTCGACGAGGCTTCCTGCCGAGAGTTGCACATTATGCCGTCATGCCCGACCCGGGGCCATCCACCCCGCTTGCCTTTGGGCGTCGCTGAAAGTCAGGCGATCGCAAACATGGATCAAGGGGGCGTGGATTGGCGACGGGTCCCGTTTCCATGGGAAGTCACTGACCTCCGTTGTCGAACGAGGCGGCGCCGGCCGCATTTTGGGGAGAGCGCCTCCCCCGATCCATGGATTTGGCGACCGCGCGGCAAATCCCTGGATCGCCAATCCACGTTTGCGCGCCCCCGATAATGGGGGGGCGATGCATTCACGAACCCAGAACAGACGCCCAGTCCCAAAACCGCGAGGGCCAAGACAGAACGCAGGCTCCTCGAGACCTCGGGGAGGGAGATTTGGGGGCTTAGGGTTTTGCCAGGGTGCCAACGACGAGCGCAAAACGCATCCCGAACTCTGTGGCCGAGCTTCGAGTCCGCTGCGAGTCCGCGATTTTTGGGGTCGGGGATGTGTTTTTTCTCTTGGCCAAGGCATGGGGGGAGCCGCGAGGGGGGCAGAGAAGGGGCCCCCTCCGGGGCCCCCAGCAGGGGCCCTCCAGGACCCACGAGAGGGGGCCTCGAGGGCCCGAGGGGGGTGCACCCTGCTTTCCCCCCCCCCCCATGCTCAGGAGGGACACAAGCACACAGACACAATGAACCGTCGATTCCCCAGAAGAGATGGGAAGATATGGGAGGTGGGGGGGGACGGCAAAAACCCAGAACATATATGGGACAACATGGGGAATTCTGTGATGTGTGTCTCTTTGTTTGTGTGTCCCAGTTCCCCTTCGCCTGCTTCGCCCCCCATATATCGCCCACGGTGTTTTGGCGATTATGTGGCCGTTTTCGTTCCGATGTCGATTTGCGTTACGAAGGTGGATTGAAGACAAAACGAGGGAAAACGAACACGAAACGGAAACGAAAAACACCGTTCAGCTTCAGCCCTGGTATCGCCCCCCCCCCCCCCCTGCGGTGACGCCCAGTGCCTCTGCCTGCAGGGTCGGGAGGAGGCGCAATCGGGAAGACAAGCACGGGGTCGCGATCGGGACGAAGACATCGGGACGAAGACATCGGGGTCGGAAGGAGGCGCAATCGGGACGAAGACATCGGTCACCCCACGGGGGCGCGAGGGGAATCGCGCTTCGCGCGCGCGTCGTGGCCTGGGCCGCCGGGATGCCCTGCTGCGGGGCGGCGTCGCGAGGGCGCGAAGGACAACCGCGGGTCGAGCACCCTCTGGGGCGCGGCGCGGGGAGCGAGGCGACCCGCGGGGCGCGCGGGGACGGAGCTCGACGGCGGTTCCCGTCCTGCTCGATGGAGGCTCAGGAGGCGGGGGTCAATGCACAGGCAGGGGGGGGGGGTACGAAGCTCGACGGGGGAGGAGGAGGAGGAGGAGGAGGAGGAGGAGGGGAGAGGAGGAGGAGGAGGAGGAGGAAGGAGGAGGAGGAGAGGAGGAGGGAGGAGGAGTGGAGGGAGGAGGAGGGGGGGGGCAGCCCGGCGCCGGATCTTGCAGGATCCTGCAGGGCCAGGGTCGCACCGACCCCGGGCTGGGGCGCAGGATCCTGCGGGCTCCTGCAGGATCTTGCAGGCTTCTGCAGGGCCTGGCTGACCCGGATCTGGATTGGCCCGGGTCAGAAGATCCCGATCTGAGCAGGGCTCACTGCCGGCGTCGCCGCGGACGTTGTCCGTTTGGGGCGATGGTCGCCTGCCCAACAGCGGCCGCGGCCGGTGCTGGGCAGCGTCCCCATACCTGCCGTCCCCTCCCTTCGAGCGTTCCGGGAGAGGCCCGCACGTCCGCGTGGCCCTTCTCGCTGGAGTCGCCGCGGGTGCGCGGCGGTCGTGGGGCGCAGGGAGAGGGGCAAGCTCAGACCTCAGCCCGCTGGCCGCCACTGTCGCACCGCATGCAGGGATCGGCGGGCCGCGCACCACAGGTCAATATTTCAGGGAAGAAGCACTGACATAGACATAAAAACTCGGATGTCCGCGCGGATTTCTCGGATCGGCGCTGGACCCCCCTCACTGGCGCGCGGAGCGCGCCAGGGGCGGCGCCGGAGGCGCCGCCAGGGGGCCCCAGCACCGATCCGAGAAATCCGCGAGGACCTCCGAGCTTTCATGTTCATGTCATTGTCCGTTCCCCTAACATTGCCCAGGCTGGTGACCCTTGCGTGTGGCTGAAACGCAAGGTTTGTGCAGTGCCGCCGCGTTTCTGCTCCTCGGCCTCGTCCGTAGTGCGTCTGCTCCTGCTCCTGCTTCTACAAGCATCCTTTATGTCGTCCTACTCTTAGCACTACTCACTCCTCGTCCTCGCCATCGTCCTCCCCTCCACCTTGTCTTCTCCTCGGTCTCTTCATCCCCCTCCTGCGCCTCCTTCTTTCCGATCCGCTCTCCCTCCTCTTCATCCGTGGCTGAAGCCATGCTTTCGATGTTGCTTGCGCCTTCTGCCCGCCCCTTGCCGCTTTTTTAATGTTTTCCCTTTTCTCCCCCCTTCTGCCCTCCTTCGCCCTCCTCCCTTCTCTCTCTCTCTCTCTCTCATGGTTCCCCTTTTTCTTCATATATGTCAACACATGTGTTGATACATCTGTATATATGTACACATACATGGTCGCCTGCCTTGACCCCAAACAATGTGTTTTTAGCAGTGTATGTGGAGCAACACATGTGGTGCAAGCTATGTGGTGCTGTATGTGCGGTGGTTAAATCTTTGTAGTGCAATCTGTGTGGTGCGACCTGTGTTGTGTACTCATGTTGTGACATCTACGTTGTACCATCTATGTGATGCAATCCATGTGGTGCAATACATGTGTACATATACACATACGAGCATATATATATATACATATACATATATATATATATGTGTGTATCGATGGTGCAAACTCCGTTGTGCTATTTATGTGTATGAGATATGTTGTGCAGTCAATACGGCGTCACCTATGCCATCCGAAATATGTGGTGCACTATATGTTGTGCACTATAGATGGTGCCGTGTATGTGTTGCAACATTGGTGCAGCATGTGCCGTGTAGTCCATGCGGTTTCAATGGATGAGGTGCGATCTATGTTGTGCAATCTATATTGTGCAACAGACGTGGTGCAATGGAAAGCATTGCAACGCTACGCAACAATGCAAAGCAATGCAAAGCCTTGCAACGCACAGCAATGCAAATCACTGCAAAGCAATACACATCATTGAAATGCAACGCAGTGCAAAGCAATGCACAGTAACGTAAAGCCGCAACTAGGCGGCGACGGCGGGACGGCGACGGCGGGCACATAGTCGCCAGACCAGCACACAGGCCCAGACGATGGGCACCGCGCGGACAAGTCCGTCCTCCAGCTCGCAACGCGGTGGTGGCGATGATGACGACAACCACGCCAACGACGATGCCGATTGCAACGATGATGATGCTGATGCCGATGGCGATGACTGTGGAGATGGGGGCGATACAATGTCGATGACGACGATTGTGATAGTGATGAGCTGTTGGGGGTGATAACGATGTTGGAAGACGTGACGCTGGCGATGATGACTATGGTGCAGGAAGTGATGATGAT